CATAATAATAATTACAACAAGAGTAAAAACAATAACATGGGCATGATTACCGCAAGCTTACACTTTCATGGCTTAACATATATGTCATAATGAAGTCAAACAAAAATGGATCACCAGAGAAAACAAAATAAAATTGCCTAATAACAACACAGTTAATGACTTGTCTCAACATATAAGCATTTACATATTGTTTTACCCATCCCTTTATCACTAAATTATAATCAGAGAAAACTATTTAACCCTTAAATCATGCTTGGATTACAAATTGATACCGATTCTGAACAGCAAATCACTAAAAAATTACTTTGCCTACCATATATGGATTTGGACAAAAAATTATTTGTATTTTTTAATTCTACAAATGAAATTCTGAATGGTGAGATCTGAAAACATCACAAGCATTTTCTGACATCCTGTAAGACTGCTGATACAGTTTCTCTGCATCCTCATCCATGCCACCTAAACACAGATGCATGTCATTTTGGGGTTAAGCATGTTAAGATACCCTGATCAGCTGAGCTAAACATGTTTTTCATACTATCACACACAACCATGTGGTAGTTTATCAATCTTGCTTACATGTACAGCTTAGTCACCATACTGTCAATTACAAGTCCTACCTGCTCTCATCTGCTGACCCTTTTCCTTGGTTTCAGAAAAAAATTCATTCCTCCTTTTTTACTGTTATTAGTATTGATAATATCAAAATAATTCTAATATCAATAATAATATTAACAATAACAGTAATGATATTAATAGCATTAGAAAATATAAAAGTTTCACAAACATTCAAGGAATAGTGATATTAGATGAGGTCAATTCAGCCTACTAATTAACTCCTGAGTGACCAAGTGTTTGCAGAACCATCTACATGTTAAAAAAATAAATAAATAAAAAATAAATAAAAATAAATAAATAAATATATAAGTAAATCACAAAACAGATCTACAGCAGTGTAATTACCCCGTGCCAATGGCTTAATAGATTAGATAACAAAAACCTTAGAGGACTAATGTCATATAAGGACAACTTTTATAGTAGCCTATAAAATCCTGTTCTCCACTATCATGGCCTGTTGCACTTTTTGAGAGGATCTTTGAACCAAAATCACAGCATCAAGTTAAATGAACTGCCAAAAACTGGGGGCCTAAATTCTTACATCTTTTGCCTGAAATGAGATATGTCGTAGTAATCCATAAATCAAGTCTGTCTGGCCACACCCACCAAACAATCCCCATACTCTGTTCACCTAACAATCCCTCTTCTCTCTGAGATATTTATAATAGTAGTGGTCCCTGTATTATGGCATCCAGGTGCATTCCTCATCCTTCCTCTCCCCCTCCTTTCGTAAAATACATTATATATGTATTATGGGCACCTCCTGTTTTTTTATCATCTTTTACTATCTATATAAATAGAATATTTTGTTGTTTTATAGTTTTTTTTTATACAACAATGAGTATTAGAACTTTCTAATGTCTAAACTTGACTTTTTTGCTAAATACTATTCCTACAGAACATTATAAACAAATTGTTGAAACTACTTGGCTATATGACAAATTACCCATGTTTTCTCCATATTTCATACATGCAAATTGAGCCACAGGTGTCATTTCCGATCTTTATTCATTCATCTTACAGTATATACAGGTTCTATGGATATACATTTGCCTTTCACACTTCTATGTCTGGTAAACAGCATTTTACAAAGGTAGTTTTACCTCTCTCTTTAAAGTCTAAAAACAAGAAAGCTATTTTGAGAAATCCTAAAAACATACTCACTTTATGCATATTTTAAATGTGATATTTTCCTTTGTGCTGATCATACATTTTACATAAATAATATAGGAATAAGCACAATCCTTTCTTCAATTCTGAAATCCAGCCAAAAGTCAATACACTATATCACAGAAAATACATACTTAAATTTGGCCTTTAGTAACACAGTAAACTGTACTGAATCCCTAGGTTTACATTGGTACCTTTAAGTCTAAAAGAATAAGGATATTAGGTAGAATGAACTTCTATGAGAGTAACATTCCCATTTTTAAGGCCATTTACTAAAAAGAGAAAAAGTAAATCTGATGAGTTGTAATACAAATGAGCCTATTTCTCGTTATACAAGTTATTAAACCAATTATACACCTAAAATTAAACAGCTTTTTTATCACTACCCAGTCAAAAGGCTGAACTTTCTCTCTCCTATACCCAACCCTCCCTCATCTTAACTGAAATTTTGCTGCAGAACATTGGTAGAGTAACTGTGCTTTTGTCTTTCAAGTGTGCATATTATGAAGCACATGGCTATGAGTGGCTTCTTGGTTTCTTTATCTGGCACTACTCTTTTTGTTTACTTTTAGAAGTTATATATTAATGAATGTCACTTTGCTTCCTGTAAGTTAGAATACAACACACTTCCTAATATTGACAGACATCATCTGCTACTGAATAACCACAGTACTAACACAAATGACAGCCAGCTTCCCAGAATGGCCAATGTCACAAAGACAAACAGAAAGGAGAACTCTAACAAAATGAAAATACAGTGCATACATTAAACACTGCCAATACTACCTTTAGTTCCTTCATCTTTCAAGATTCACAGGAGAACTAGTGAAAGAAGTTTCTCTAAATCTCATGACTTTGTAGTCATATAGGACATGTAATAATTTAACATAACTGTGGAACCCATATCAGGAATAATGCAAGCAGATACCAATACATAAACCCAAGTGTAACTTTTGACGAAGCTAATGAAGGCCCCTGACATATCGAAAACCCTTGCTAAAACTGGAAGATGATAATTAGAAAATGCATTAGAGAGTACCAATACAAAGTATGGCTTCTATATGGGAATGAGAGTGAGAGAGAGAGAGAGAGAGAGAGAGAGAGAGAGAGAGAGAGAGAGAGAGAGAGAGAGAGAGAGAGAGAGAGAGAGAGAGAGAGAGAGAGAGAGAAAGAGAGAGAGAGAAAGAGAGAGAGAGAAAGAGAGAGAGAGAAAGAGAGAGAGAGAAAGAGAGAGAGAGAAAGAGAGAGAGAGAAAGAGAGAGAGAAAGAGAGAGAGAAAGAGAGAGAGAAAGAGAGAGAGAAAGAGAGAGAGAAAGAGAGAGAGAAAGAGAGAGAGAGAGAGAGAGAGAGAGAGAAAGAGAAAGAGAAAGAGAAAGAGAAAGAGAAAGAGAAGAGAGAGAGAGAAGAGAAGAGAGAAGAGAGAGAGAGAGAGAGAGAGAGAGAGTGAGAGTGAGAGAGAGAGAGAGAGAGAGAGAGAGAGAGAGAGAGAGAGAGAGAGAGAGAGTGAGTGAGTGAGTGAGTGAGTGAGTGAGTGAGTGAGTGAGAGAAAGAGAAAGAGAAAGAGAAAGAGAAAGAGAAAGAGAAAGAGAAAGAGAAAGAGAAAGAGAAAGAGAAAGAGAGACAGAGACAGATTTAGCTTCAATACATTTGCTTTTACTTGTCCATGACATCAGTAATGACATGTAATTACTCATCAAAATTCTTATCAAGTCCATGATATATTTTTCTGATAAATATCTAATAGACACCTGCATTAATGAGGCTATTTCCACATAGTTAGAATGACAGTCTTTTATATGTCAATATAAAGATATAGTGAGCTTTGCTGAATAACCTGGAATGCATCATCTAACTCTGCAGCAGTTTAGCCAATGACTGACGGAACTCTTGCACTTCGCACTCCAGGCAGTCTACAAACCTCCACCCTGTACACTCATTTTAAATTAACTTTGAGACTGGTTCTGCAACTATCTTTTGGATATTTACCTCTGCTTTATCCCTAATATGTTGCCACATTACATGAACTTGCATACATTTTACATAAATCCCTTATATCTGTAAATTAGAAGCAAACACCCCACCTTTCATAATGAATAAAAAAAAAGGCTTTTACTCATGTAACATGTAATACATCCTTCATTTAACGAAATAAATGACAAAATGTAATAAAGAAAAATCCTTCACTTAATAATTCACTTGCAAAAACAATAACACCAGAGCTTGATTGCATAGGCCTACAACCATACGTCAATTTGCCACACCATGAATCACGCCTTGTGACGTCCCTGTCACTCCCCTTGCCCCTTGCCCCTCCCCAATTTCCCTTCACTCCCTACCGCCTCGTCCCCAAAATAAGGCTCATTTTCCCTTCATCTCCTCCTCCTCCGCCTTGTCATTTTCCTCACCTCCGTCTCCTTATTGTTACGGATTCCCCGGACCAAATCGGTGAGGTTCTTGTCAAACATCCTCTCCAGGTTGCCTTTCACCTTGCGCAGCGCCATTTTTCTCGCTCTTTCTCTTTTCTCCGGCTTCCTCTAAGGTATTTCTCGACTAGGAGTTGGTTTTCACAGACAAGGCATCGTCCTAAGAGCTACATAATGGAGTTCCTCGGAAGCGAAAAAGATCCTCCTTCCTGTCGCTCGGACCAGGTGTTTTCCACTGGGGAGCACAGGGAGTGGGGAGGGTCATGTGACGTTGCAACCTTTTCCCATGATGCTCCATTTGCAATATAAAATCTGCTGGTTTAATGACCTTTTCTTTGGTTTAGGTAGTTGTTTGGGTGTGATTTAATGAAATCTTTAAGGGTCTTTGAGGGGCAAATTGGCTTTCGTGTTATAGATAGTAAAGGTGGATTTAGTTTTTCTTTTTTTTCTTCTTTTGACAGCTTGGGATTCGGATGTAAAGCCCTTTCGCAAATACTTGTTTGGCTTTTCTGTTCGTGTACAGAAATGTTTATAGTAATTTTTAAAAATGTTTTTCCAACTTATTTACGTATTTACTGACAATTTACCAAATAAGATATATAAGATAATCGCCCTCAGTAGTCAGACAATCTATCACATAAAAAGGGAAGTACCGTCTCATACCACACAAGACTAACAGCAAAATATTAAATAATCTTATTATAGATATGCATATTTTCACGAAATAAGTGAAAACTAAAACTCATTAAATCAAAATGAAAAGATGTTCCCCCGTAGAACACAGGGAGTGGGGAACCAAAACAAATCCATGCTCGACGAGACCTCCTTATCACGTTGGTCTGTATTCTTTTACATATTATTAAAGCTGTGCGACCTAGATAACTGGAATATCTATGTAGCTGTGTAGATGTGGATAGATGATTGTAATATGTATAGTTAGTTGAGTGAAATATATATACATAAGGGAGAGTTTGAGCAAAAAAGGTTTATATTTATTTGTTGTTCACGAGACATGATGAAAGTGTTAGGGAGGAAGGTTTTGTGTTAAGGACGTTTTACCAATGCTAAACAACTTTGGTCTTTACAGTTATATAGTTAGGGAGCCTCCTTGATGTTTAATTACTCTATTGGGGAAATTGCTGCATTTGTTACGTGCTTCTACCGGAAAATGTTCATTGTCATTACTAACAAGTCATACCTTAGATTGCTCGCGATTTGTACTGTCCATTTCTAGTATTTTTATTTCAGTCCACGATTGCTAACGGTACTAACCCATGTAGCTGGCAGTTTGTGAAGTGTCCTTTGACTAGTTTTACGGGAGATCCAATCGCAAGTGCACAGTATGCAATTCTTGCTCTACCCATGGCAGGGTAGAGCACATGACCAACGTGCAGGAGCGCCTAATGATGAGTCTGTCCGATGCCATTTCCTGCTGTGAATACATAGAGGAGTCTTTGTTTCCCTGGGTGGATGTTAGAGGGAGGCAACCCTCCAGGAGGGGTCTGATTTCGTACTGTGATTACGGCAGGGTTTGATGATGTGATGGAACATTATGCCAAATTTTGCCAGTGGTGTATGATTGCAGTCTGGTAGCCTTGTTTAGATTTTGGACTATTACAGAACGGGTCTGTAAAAGTGGTATTGTGCAGTTTTTCGTACACATGGTATTTTTGTTTGTCCTTACAAATTAAGGACAAACATAATGCTTTTTAGTGGACTTTGCTTAGTCTGAGCTTGCCTGTATTTTGGAACCCATTAGATCTGGAGTTGTTAGATTCCATGTAATATCTAGTGTGTGTTCCTAGATGTGTATTTGTCAGTGCTAAGCAATTATAACGTAGATGCTAAACCTGAGATTATATGATTCCATCAAGTAATTCAGTGAATTTTAATCCCTCAATGACAGTATCAGAAATCTCTTGGAGGCTTCTGGTAACTGTCCTGCTGTTTGGCCTTGGAGTCCACTACACATATCGGAACTTTCTGCTGGGAGCACTGTAGCATGTCACAGCGCCTATAGCCATACCTGGCGTGATGAATTGGTTTGTTATGATGGCTATAGGCATGGCCCAGCAGATATGGGTTAAAATGCAGACCTTCTCAAGCAATATGATCTTCATGCAGTATTGGTAGCATCAGTTAAATGGAACTTAACCCATTCGCCCCATTCGGCAAGAATACTTGCCATGCCCACTGTAATACACATTTATTTATTGTATTTACATATAGATGGCTCTACAAGTTCTTAATCACCAAATAGCCAGTTATCAAGAACTACCTATCTCGCCTGTGTACCCTTTTCCTTCACTTTAGGAAAGGGTCTTTTATATCATTTCATTGTCTTAAATATTTTAACCCATTCATGCTGGGCTTCACGTATATGGGACAGGCCCATTGTGAGTTTACATGTTTAATTGTTTTCACACATAGATGGCCACACTTGTGCTTGTACTGCCTGTCTTGCCTGTTTACCCTTTTCTTTAATTTACGAAATTATTTTGCGTTATCTTATTTTGCTGTTACTGATGTTTATAACATTATAGTAATTATAATGTTTATAATAAAAATGACCATCAATATTCATAACACTAGTAGAAATACATTTTCCCGCCAATTCAAGTAAAGGTGAAATCAGGTAAGGCAGAGCCATCTAGTGTAGAGACATTTCACAAAAAAGATATAAAAAATGAGCACAGCATTTTCCCTATTTTTTGTTCATTTTTACCAGGTGCGAATGGGTTAATGACAATTTAATTATCATGACATCAATAAAAATGATAATGGTATCAATAGCAATGGTATTAACCCAATGGTGCCGGATGAAGAAAACAATAAAAAAACTCTACGCTCTGGCAAACAAAGGCTGTGCGCCGACTTTGAGCACTTGAGTAGGGTACATCAGCCCGAATCACTGGCTCGATGCGCTTTGGCGCGCCGCCGCAGCGTACAGCCACACGGCTGTACGCCTATTGGCGTCACCCACCGTTAAGGGGTTAATAAGAAAAACAAATTTTCCCACTAATTCAAGGAATGGGAAAATCACGATCGGTAACTAGGGCCTACTGTTAGACTCCTTGCTGGCTGAGCACATGTGGAGCCATCTGTATGTAACAAAATTCACCAAATACAACAGGGGACAAAACATAAATCAGGGGCGGATGGGTTAACTGAATAGAAAGCTATTTACCTAAGTTCTTTTCTTTTGTGTGTTCCAGTTTTGTACAGTTACAAGATCACTTTTATGTAAATACATTTCTACTGATCTTTTGTATGTCAAAGATATCACAACAAGCCTTAAAGAACAAATGATATATTTGATATTATAAAATGATATTTTATAATATACACTATCTGGGTTTGGGGCATTGGGCAGCTTGGGTACAGATGTCAGACTACTCCTCTGGAACATCACTAGTCCTCATCATGCAAGAACTAAGTCTATCCTTCTCTGCCATGTAGTGAACAACTAACCTGTCTTAGTGCATGTAGGTCACAAAATTTCAATCAATTATTGTCTCTCATAAAAAGGTACTGTACTTTCAATGTATTTCTCTATATCAAATACAGGGAATATGGTTACTGGGTTAGAGCTGGGAGCAGAGCCCTTAGCTAGGAAAATAAGGTGATCGGGGGCTGGTGGTGAAAGTTAAGAGGGTTTTTGGTTTATATGGTGATGTTTGTGGATTCCCAGGAGTGCCTTCAAACTTGTTGGCTGGAGTAAGAGGGAATTTGTCTCAGAGGGCTGTGGTTGCTTTGGAAACAATTATTATTATTTTGATTATTATTATTATTATCATTATCATTACTATTACCATTATCATCAATATTATTAATATTGTTATTATTATTATTATTATTATTATTATTATCATTATCATTATCATTATTATTTTTGTTATTATTGTTATTGTTTTTATTATTGTTGGTGTTATTATTGTTATTATTATTGATATTTTATTTATAATTTTATTTGTTCATTTTGAAAGGGCAAAGAATGAAATGTACTTGATTTACTGTATTTTAAACATTATTTTATATTCCTACATGTTTTCCTTTTGTGTATATATGGCATAGTTATTTCTTTTATGTGTGAGAGTTATAAAAGATGTAGATATATATTGAATTACATGGTATCATGTTTTCTGTTGTTCTTGTGTTGGTATTAAGACTGAATAGCTTCTGTTTCTCTTTTTAGTTTCCTCTTTTCTCTTTCTGTATTTTGTCTCGTCTTGCAGGTTGTTAGTATCATCAAAGAACAATGGGGAAGAAGAAACGACAGCACCGGCGGAAGGACCGGGAGGACAAGATGTTTGACGCGCATGACGACGTGATGCAAGATGTGGATGTGGACCTGGACCGCCGGCTGGGGGCCAAAGTCACTTCAAAACAGAAGAAGAGAATGAAGAGGAAACTCATGAGGGAAATGAGGATGAAAGAACAAATGGACCGGTACAAAGGCAAAGAGGGCAAAGACGAATACACGGGATGGCATACTATCAACATACAAGGAGATACACCACTGGAGAAGAATTTCATCCTTTCAAGCATCGGGAGTGATGTGGAGGTGGAGTTCCGCCCTCTGGGCTTCTTCAAGATGGGGAACACAAGTGGATTTTACCTTGAGAAGAATGCTTCTGCTGCAAATGCCATTGTTGCACTTGACAAGAGACTCCAAGGGCCAGATGGAAGTCGGCTCAAGATCAACCTGAAGAAGTGTGAAACCCCTGACCTCGTGTTGAACACAGACCAGTTACAGGTTTTACGAGACGTTCTTTCTCAGAGATTCAACGGTGAAGCCTGCTTGTTAGATCTCTCTAATTTTCATTATGAGCAAAGATTTTTAGATCAGGACATCCTGGCTCCTCTGGCTAGTACCTCCATCATGAAGCATGTTGTTCGTATGATCAGAGAAAATGTGCCTCAGCTGAAAGCACTCAATTTGAGCAAGAATAACATCAAAGTAAAACATTTGAAAGGCCTGTTTTTATTATTGTTGGTGTTATTATTGTTATTGTTTTTATTATTGTTGGTGTTATTATTGTTATTGTTTTTATTATTGTTGGTGTTATTATTGTTATTGTTTTTATTATTGTTGGTGTTATTATTGTTATTGTTTTTATTATTGTTGGTGTTATTATTGTTATTGTTTTTATTATTGTTGGTGTTATTATTGTTATTGTTTTTATTATTGTTGGTGTTATTATTGTTATTGTTTTTATTATTGTTGGTGTTATTATTGTTATTGTTTTTATTATTGTTGGTGTTATTATTGTTATTGTTTTTATTATTGTTGGTGTTATTATTGTTATTGTTTTTATTATTGTTGGTGTTATTATTGTTATTGTTTTTATTATTGTTGGTATTATTGTTATTGTTTTTATTATTGTTGGTGTTATTATTGTTATTATTATTGATATTTTATTTATAATTTTATTTGTTCATTTTGAAAGGGCAAAGAATGAAATGTACTTGATTTACTGTATTTTAAACATTATTTTATATTCCTATATGTTTTCCTTTTGTGTATATATGGCATAGTTATTTCTTTTATGTGTGAGAGTTATAAAAGATGTAGATATATATTGAATTACATGGTATCATGTTTTCTGTTGTTCTTGTGTTGGTATTAAGACTGAATAGCTTCTGTTTCTCTTTTTAGTTTCCTCTTTTCTCTTTCTGTATTTTGTCTCGTCTTGCAGGTTGTTAGTATCATCAAAGAACAATGGGGAAGAAGAAACGACAGCACCGGCGGAAGGACCGGGAGGACAAGATGTTTGACGTGCATGACGACGTGATGCAAGATGTGGATGTGGACCTGGACCGCCGGCTGGGGGCCAAAGTCACTTCAAAACAGAAGAAGAGAATGAAGAGGAAACTCATGAGGGAAATGAGGATGAAAGAACAAATGGACCGGTACAAAGGCAAAGAGGGCAAAGACGAATACACGGGATGGCATACTATCAACATACAAGGAGATACACCACTGGAGAAGAATTTCATCCTTTCAAGCATCGGGAGTGATGTGGAGGTGGAGTTCCGCCCTCTGGGCTTCTTCAAGATGGGGAACACAAGTGGATTTTACCTTGAGAAGAATGCTTCTGCTGCAAATGCCATTGTTGCACTTGACAAGAGACTCCAAGGGCCAGATGGAAGTCGGCTCAAGATCAACCTGAAGAAGTGTGAAACCCCTGACCTCGTGTTGAACACAGACCAGTTACAGGTTTTACGAGACGTTCTTTCTCAGAGATTCAACGGTGAAGCCTGCTTGTTAGATCTCTCTAATTTTCATTATGAGCAAAGATTTTTAGATCAGGACATCCTGGCTCCTCTGGCTAGTACCTCCATCATGAAGCATGTTGTTCGTATGATCAGAGAAAATGTGCCTCAGCTGAAAGCACTCAATTTGAGCAAGAATAACATCAAAGTAAAACATTTGAAAGGCCTGCAGGGCTTAAACATAGGAAACTCGCAACTTGCAGCTCTCAACCTTGAGCACAATGACATCAGAGACATATCAGTGCTTAAGCAGGTAAAAATGTTCCCTTTGTCAGAACTTAACCTTCAGTTCAATCCTCTGCTGAAGAGTTACAAGGAATGTCCAATGAAATATATTCGCCATGTTAGAAAAGAAATTCCCCATTTGAAAATTATAGATGGGGTGGATATTGATATGTATTTACTAGAAAATGGAAAGAGCCAGGCTAATGGGCTGGAACCGTCTGTTTCTCAATCCAGTGTGAATGAAACTGGCTCCAGTAGTAGTACTGTATCTGAAGGTATGGTCCGCACCTTTTTAGAGCAGTACTATGCCCTCATTGACACCCCACAGCGGAGCAATCTTGTGGCTGCATACACTCCTGATGCTGTGCTGGAGGTTAAATCTTCCATCAGTGAAATCAACAGTAGTGTGCTTGTTGGGCATGATGAAATTTCCAAAGCACTTGTGGGTTTCCCGGTGACGCAGCATCAGCACAACACCTTCTCTTTCAATATCCAGCCTTTGAGCCCTAATGTAACACAGGCTGTCGTAACAGGGCAAGTTCTTTTAGCGGGAAGTAGCACTGCAGTTGCTTTTGCACGGAAAATGAATATTGTACCTTTCAATACTGGATTTTGTTGTTCTCAGGACTTGTTTGAGTTGCGAGGGTTATAGGAAATGTATTTTTTTTGTGTGTGAATGTGTTATATTGTATTTGTAAATTTGGATGGTAAAGTTTAAAATCTTGCCCATACAAAGTGAAGACTCGATAAAGCATAACTTATTGATTATAAATTTGTGTACCTTTTCCGTGAATTATGATATGAAATGTACTAAAACTTTGTAACAAATGTCCAAGGAAAAAATAGTTAATGGAACAAATACCATTTTCTACTCGGTACCATACTTGTCTCCTAATACCATAAAAAGAAAGAGTTTGAATGGAGTATTATTATTCCAAACTCTACAGAAATTCTAAACATAACTTCTGTGAAGTCAAACATTATTTAATTATGTGAAAGCATTCCAGTGTATCGCGTTAATAGGCGAGAATGCTTCGACCTAGAATACCATCTTTTCATTTTTTGTCATTCAAGTGAGATTAAGCTGCTGTTAAAAAGAGTTGTATGTACTCTACTATCATCTTGTATGTCTTCATAATTTTTTTCTCGTTCATCATGATGTTTGCATGCGTAAGAGAGTATAAATGGTTCAAGTATTTGTAAACGACATTGAAAGAATTGATGTATGCTTTATGATTGTTGTATAAAAGGAGGTAATGTGACTGATGAACAAACAGTAAACAAGTCTGTTTAGTTCAGTAAATGACCACCAGTCCATTTAAAATCAAGCTAAGAATTTGTACTATTTTTTCACAATAGATGCTATCACTGAATAGCTAATTGTAGAATGGGCAGTATGTTACTGCTTATATCAGCAACAAGAGTATTTGGTGATTTTAGAAGCATATTAAAGTTTTAAGTTGCATACTGAGTTTCTTGAAGTCCTTTATTTTATTCATATATTATTATTATCATCATTATTAAGGCAATTATTGTTATCATTCCTTTTTTGGTATATATTTATAATTGTTATTATTATGCAGCTTGAAAACATTTGTTTGGTTTGTTTTTTTAACATTGAAAGTAACATTTGTTATCATTAGTGTAATTATTTTTTTTACTCATTGTATGCAGGACATAGAAATAACACATTATATTGCTGACAGCATTGTAACCATGCTGTCTAGTGCTGCTGGTTATGATACTAATATGAGAAATTT